TTGGGCGTTTATTTTTTCCATTTCTTTCTTATGCTGGGCCTTCATGGCTTCTATCATGGTCCTGAGCTCATCTATTTTTTTGTCAGTTTCTGCTCCAGAGTCTCGAATCATGACTTCCATTTTGCTCACTATCTCTGTGGTTATCTGGGAAATTATTTCTGTTTTGAATTTTTCTAGAGCCTGATTGATCTGTTTTGTTACTTCCTGTGCTTTGAGTTCAGGGTGTCCTGGTATTTCACTATTGGCCTTTTCATCCTCATATGTCCTACTGTTTGCCATTGGTGAACTGGAAGTCTGTCCTTGTTTCTTGCTTAAGTGTTTTCTCATTTTTATTTTTGTTGTAGGACTGTCGTTGGTTTAATCTCTGGGTTAACACCCAAATCTTCCTGATATGGCTGTGCCCTACCTTCTGTGTCTCTAACGACCCATAGACATTCTCATCTTCATAACATCAGAGAAAACAGCTCATCAAATCAACCGCAATGCTTTACCCCAACTGATACAATCAGCAACACATTAAGATCAAGCACAACTTGGACACTGACCACCTGTGGTAGTCACTAGTCTATCACCCTTAAATCATTTGAATTAAATTGAAATCAAGAAGCAGTCCAGAACATGTCTGCAGTGAACAAAATTTCAATATAGTGTATTTACCATTTAATGGCTCAGACAGAGCGAGGATGCAAAACCCCTGGTCTCAGCTGATGGCTGAACCCCATGATGCTGACTGACCTCGGGCTGCAAGATTGAGTTCCCCAACCTTCTGAATGGTTGAACTCTGCAATGTTCTATTACAGGTTTCCCACACCCTTTCTTTAATGATGTTCAAAGTTGGGAACTCAGAATAATACCCTTGATGACTACCTCTGCCTCTGCAGAGTGGGTCCAAAGACTGGCACAGTCAGGAGGTCTGAGAGCGCGGGGGCGGTGTATGGGGGTTCAGGGGCTTCCACGCGGCTACCTTCCTGGCACTGGAACGATGGCTGCTAGGTTGGGAGCAGGCATGTCTCTCCTTCCCGCAGTGGATTGGGGCCCAGGCTACCTTCTTAGTGCTCAAGGAATGGCAGCTGGGGAGGGAGAAGGCATGGCTCTCCTTCTTGTGGTGGATCGGGGCCCAGGCTACCTTCTGGCTGGAGTGAGGGCTGCCGGGCGGGAGAAGGCATGGTTCTCCTAACCGTGCTTTTTTCTGGGCTCCTGTTGCATGGAGAGTTGTTTTCCACCCTTGCACTTTCAGTCTATGGGCTTCTTTTTGCACTAGTTGTGTTTCTTGTATACAACATATTGTCGGATTTTGCTTCTTAATCCATTCTGCCAGTCTTCTCTTAATTGGTGAATTGAGGCCATTGACATTGATGGTTATAACTGATATGTACCGACTTCTTATTGTCATGTTACTGTCCTTTTGTTGACTCTTTTACTTTTTCCCCCTCTCCTTTTAGTTTCTTGCCTTGCCTATTTGATTTGCTCTGTTGGGCCTCATGGTGTTGTGATCTTCTTGGTCTTTTTCTAGGATATTGTTTAGAATTCCTTGTAGTGCTGGTTTGGTATTCATGAAGTTTCTCAGGTGTTCTTTGTCATGGAAGTATCTTATTTCTCCGTCCATTTTGAAAGAGAGTTTTGCAGGATACGTCAGTCTAGGTTGGAGGTTGTTTTCTTTTAGGACTTGAAATGCCACACTCCAGGCTCTCCTTTACCCGAGGGTTTGTGTTGAAAAGTCTGCTGTGATTCTGATGGGCCTTCCTTTGCATGTGATTTGTTTCTTTTCTCTCACTGCTTGTAGTATTTTGTTTTTCTGTTGGGTTTCTGGGATCTCGATTATTATATGTCTAGGTGTAGAGCTTTTTTTTATCCTGGCTAGTTGGAGTCCTATATGCCTCACTTATCTGTATGTCTAATTCTTCCCCTCTGTTTGGGAAATTTTCTGTTGTTAATTCTGTGAACAGCTTTTTAAAGTCCTTTGTATTTTCTTCTGCTACTTCATGTATCCCTATCAGTCTTATATTATTCTTTTTTGCAACATCTAGGAGTTGTTGGATCAATTTCTCATGATCCCTTACTGTTTTTAAGAGAGCTGTCCTTTCACGGTCACTGTCTGCTATCCTACCTTCTGTATCTGAGATTCTATCTTTGCATTCTTTTATTGTATTGTGTACACTTTCAGTAGAGTTTTTAATCTCCTGGATATCTGTTTGAATATGTTTTATGGATTTCATTTCTTTCCTATGTTAGGCATTCTTTGTTTCCATTTCTTTCTTATGCTGGGCCTTCATGGCTTCTGTTATGGTCCTGAGCTCATCGATTTTTTTGTCAGCTTCTGTTCTAGAGTTTCAAATCGTGACTTTCATTTTGCTCACTATCTGTATGGTTATCTGGGAAATTATTTCTGTTTTGAATTTTTCTAGAGCCTGATTGACCTGTTTTGTTACTTTCTGTGCTGTGAGTTCTGAGTGTTCTGGAGGTTCATCAGACTTTTCATCCTCCTTTGCCCTACTGTTTGCCATTGGTGAACTGGAAGTCTGTCTTTGTATCTTGCTTAAGTGTTTTCTCATGTTTATTTTTGCTGTTGGGTTGTCCTTGATTCAATCTCTGGGTTATTAAATCCTCCTGATATTGTTGCTCTTCAGCCCCCAACTCTCTAATGACTCAGACATTCCCACTTGCTGGCTGGCATTGGAAGGGCAGTAGTGTTGGCACCCACCAGAGAGGGCGTGTCCACCCAGATCCGTGGGCTGGGCCCAGGCTGGTGGAAGGAGATGTGGTATCCAAGCCGAGGTACTTTCCCCGGTTCTCACCTTGCTGGCTGGCATTGAAGGGTAGCAATGGCGGCACCCAATCAGAGATGGCGTGGCTACCTGGACCCTTGGGGTGGGCCCTATAATTGAAATTTAAATAGTACCTATACTGTACTGTCCATGCCAAACAAAGTTAAATTACAGACATTTTAATAGGCTTCTTTACAACTTTGTGTATACCTGTCAGGACATAGCAACTCATTTGAAGGATATAAAATAATAGTTTGTTAAAACTTTTAAAAAAGACATTTAAAATATCCCTTACAGATTATCTGGAAAGACTCCTGGCTACGTTATGTGACTAAGTGCTGTGGCCTTCTTTGGGAATAAACTCAGTGATAATTGAGATTCTAGTGTTATTAAGGTAGTTCTTTAGATGTGTGGCCCTGAAGAGGTAAAAAGCCAGCACTTTCTGTATGGAAAGCACATTTTAAAATTTGTAAAGAATATTGTATGTGAAATTTTAGTTCCCACTCAACAGATAACCAGTTTCATTTAGATTTCTGAAAAGATCATGTTGGTGTACCTACTCTCTGAAGACATTTAAAGCTATCATATTAACTGTACTATATTACTTTTTGGAAAAATAAACATGTACTGTTCACTTTTTTTTTTTTTTTTTTTTTTTTTTTGGTACCGGGGATTGAACTCAGGTCCTTGCTCATGCAAGGCAGTCCACCAAACCACTGAGCTAAATCCCCGGCCCAGTACTGTTCACTTTTAAAGAGCAAGTTTTAGAAGGACATGTCAAACATTTAATTATAATTTTCTCTAACTTCATTTGGGGACTAGGTATGGGGAAGTAATAAGTTGCAATTTTGATTTTTTTAAAAAACTTTATTAACATTCGTTTGGATTTTTGCATTATTTTATATTAGGGAAATAGTACAAAATAAAAAATTCTTTTCTTAGGTTTGAATGGTTAAGCTCATATACTTACCTGTTTTGATTTTAGAGCTCTACCCTTTCAGGAGGCAAACATCATGGTCCTGTTGAAGCCTTAAAACAAATGTTATTTAATCTTCAAGCTGTACAAGAAAGTTTTAATCAAAATAGAACTATAGAACCAAAAGAAAAAATTAAACAGGTAAGCACAAACTTGATGTATGAATTGAAAGCTATGAATTTGTAAAAATATTTCTTTTTACATCTTTTTCAGACCAACTTCTAGTTCTTTGTTATAAGCATACCAGTATGCCACATAGCCAATGTTGTAGAGTTGCATTGCTATTTTTTTAGGAAGTGATTTATTCATATTTAATACTATTGAGACTTCTGAAGGTTTTTTTAACCTCAGTGTATTTTTATGATTTAAATCCCAATACCTTATTTAGATATGATGATGTTATATCTGCAGTATGAATTACAAAAGTGTTTTTTAAAGCCCTACAGAATTAAAATGTATGGCCCACATTGTAGTTATGTTGGAAGCCTAAAAAAACCTTTTCAGTATTAAGATTTATTTATCTATCTTTGTCATGTGATGTTTACTTTTGTTACTATGTATTTATTGACTCTTTTGAATACTAATGTTTTATTTTAGGACCATTGTGTTTTTAAACTGTGTATCCTTGAAATTTGAAACTGTTTCTGCTTTTTGCTATTTTTTCTATGGGAATGAATTTTCTTCATCTAAGTATAGTGTTTAAAAACAAAGCCCTTTCAAATCTAAATTCTAATTCTGCCACCTACTAGAAAATGGAACATTTATGCAAATAAATCACTTACATTCTTTAGTTTGTTTTATTCTTTAATTGACAAAAAATTTTATATATTTTGGTGAATAATCTCTTTTGAAAAAAATATATATATTTGTAGTGTGAAATGGATAAATTAAGTTGATATACATTGCCTCATATTTTTTGTGATGAGAACACTTAAAATCTTTCTTAGCAAAATTCAGGTATATAATACATTGTTACTAACTAGAGTCACCATACTGTATAATAGCTTTCTTGAATTCATTCCTAGTAATTGTAGTCTCTTGTTTGACTAGTATCTCCCTAACTACCAACTATCCTACCACTCACTGGTAGTTACACTCTAGCCCTATATGTTATATTTTTTAAGATTCTACATGTGCATTAAATCATGCAGTATTTTGTCTTTCTGAACATGGATTATTTTTCTAATCAGTTTCCTTTTCTGCAGAAGGAGGTTATTGAGAACACACAGTACTTTGAGACAAACTATATTTAATACTGACAATAAATGCTTAGTTAAGTTGTAGCTCCTTTTATTGTCAGTCTTTTGTTACTGTTATTCAGTAGAGCTTTATGAAATTCAGTTTTCATTACAAATGAGTAGATCAGTTCTTAAGAAGTACTATAGACTTCATTTGAATTGTATTTAAAAATTTTCCTCTGGACATCCTAGTAATCATAGTATTACATATTACATCCTTCTTTTAAATATCACTGAACCATAATCTTTTCAATAATGGTATAATTTTTTAGCCAAGGTTTGATATATTATTTTTTTTTGTGGTACCAGGGATTGAACTCAGGATCTTGAGCTTGTGAGGCAGGTGTGGTACCACTGAGCTAAATTCCCAGCCTTCAAGATTTGATTTTTATTTATTACTTTTTTTCATTGAGTTTATTGCTACGTTTTAGGTACACAGTACAGTTACATTCATCATTAGGATCTTGTACCTTTACATGACAGATCTTGGTTCTCATTTTTTCCCCATACTCCTGCCCTCCCTTTACCCCTTCCACCCTTCCCTATTTATGAAAACTTTGTTTCCATTTTTTAATTTTTTCATATTTTTTCTCTTCCCTTATTTCCTTTCCCCTACCATTCCCACTTCCCCTACACCTTTAGCCCTTTTCTTCCTATTTCACATTGTCAGTTTTACCATTTGGATTTTATTTACACTTTTAGTTTTTCACACCACAGAAACTGTTTGGTATTTATGCATGTAAGATTTGATTTTTTAATGGACATATTTTTAGAAGCAAATCAAAGGTGAACCTAAATGATAGTTGTAGAATTTTTAGAGTAAATGAGAAGTAAAAATATTTAATGCTGTCCTGAAAACTGTTTGCTGGAAATAATTCTTTGGAAATACAGAAAATATTTTTAATATTAATTAATCACATTTTAAATGGCACTTAATTTTATAATTATAAAATATTTAAAATGTTATATTCTAATTTGTTGTTGTTTTTAATAATAGGTTTCAGAAGATGATTTCTCTAAATTACATTTGAAAGAAAATATGATTCCAATTACTAAGTCTCTTCAAAAGTAAGTATTTTTTACTATTATGGATGCAAATCCACCTTGCTCTTTCCTTTGACTGAAGTCAGGGTGGAATTAAGTAGTTGCAAGATTAGAAGTGTCCTAGGGATATACTTATGCTTCTTAGAACATATTAACTTTAAGAAAAAGATTGCTTTCTCTTAAATCTATGCTATTTCCTATTTGAAATGTTCTAAGGACCCAATGAGATACTTCACACTTTTAAATTATAACAGATATGAATGGTTTAGATTCTCTTAATTTTTAATAAATGATAACAATTTGAGATGGTATTGTTGTGGATCCCCTCTAATAATAACTTGTTATTTTCATATTTCTTTAGGATAAAAGTAATAGTCCTAAGTGTATTATTTGGCACATAGTCACAGAAATCTAAAGTAGATACAATGACCTAGAAATATAGATAGGTCTAATTTTCTTAGTTACATTGTCTTTTATAGAAAAGTAGATAATGCTGCAAGTCTCAGCTACAGTTATGTTGCCATAATACTTGCATGTAGTATTGTATATACTAGGATAGTAGAAATCAAGGATAATGATGAGTAACATTGAATTATTTAGCAAATGTCAGTGCTTTTGTTACTTCTAAGTGATAAAACTTACTCAAAATTACCTAGTAAGAAGTAAAATTGAGACTTGAACTTGCGATTTGAAAAGCTGTGTTAGAAACACTCATTAATGATAATAGTGAATTGTTCATTGAGATTAAGTGCAGGACCTCAGTAGATCTAGGTTAAAGACCACATTCTTCTTTTAAATTTTAAAGTGAATGACCTTTCCCTTGTTCTTAAGAGCTTTGATAGTGAACTTGTGTTTAAGTACTTACCTTAAGAGGTGGATACTGATCCATAGGTTCTTTCAACATTTGCTAGAATTAAAATAACTTTTCTCCTACTATAAACAATTAGCTTTAAAGAGTAAGCATCTTCAGAAGATACAGATTGTACTTGAGATGTTTTATTGACCCTTTTAAGGTGAAAATCTTATTATAGTGGACCCTTGGCTTATGAACTAAGTTGGTCAGTTAAAGGCTTAGGCTCCTTCTTCTACATAGCCTTCAAAGTCTTTCTTCTATATACAATTAGATCTTAGTGTCTTTTGAGAGACATTAGCCCAAGATTTTTCAGTTAACCCTGCACAGGAAAGCATGTTATAATGTTCCTTCCAGAACCCTTTAAGGGTTGAATCTGTATCTGATACCATCTGGGAGCACGAGTGGCTGGCATTTGAGTTGTAACTCAAGACATGGTTCATAAGTTAAAACTAAAATTTTGGTCATAATCCAAGCTGTTCGTATGTCAGATTGGTTGTAAGGCAAGGGTCCATTGTACATAACTTCTTATTCCTGAACTAATAGCTTTTATTTTTAACAGTTGTGTGGCTAACTAGTTTTAAGGCATCTTAGCCTTGGGGAGTGCCAAGCTTCTGGTTTGGGTTCTCTTCTTTCTTGTAGACACTTGATGTTCTCCCATTAGAAATACTTGTTTTCTAGGAGGACTTATTACAGCTGAGGTATACAGCAGGAGATCCAAAGATAGAGTGAATGTTTAAACTAAAATAATATTTTATTGCATTAAAAGATCTATTGTCAAAAACAATGGATTTGTTCAAAGTGAGGGCAAGTCTTTGGAAAGAAGGGGGTGAATGGCAATATGTAGTTAATGTAATTCATTTTTAAAATTTAAACATGTACCATATTTGTTTATCAACCATTTATAGCAGCTTCTGCCAAATAAAAAAATTACCTTGTATCCTTATTCAACTTACTCACCAGATCTGGCACCAGCTGACCTCTGACTCTTTCCCAAAGTCAAAATAACAATAAAAAGTTAACGTCTTGAATTAATTTAGAATGTCAGGGCAGCCAACAGCACAACTAAACATGAAAGGATTTTTTGAGCTTCAGAAAGTGGCAAGAATGATGAGATACACATATTTAAAGCAAGAGGGAATATCTTGAGGGGGATTAATGGCAATTTGCCATTTACTGTAATTGAAAAAAGTCACTATTTTGGTCACACCTAGTAAATGACAAATAACAACTTAGGATGTTTTTCCAGGATTCTTCTTAGAGTAGGAATCAAATTGTAGTGGTTTTGTTTGTATCCCTATACTACTTCACCTTGTCTTATATATTCCATATTAGAAATTCAGTAAAAACATTAACTGCAACCCCTATAATAAAAGTTTTGCATTTTTAGCAAATGAAAGAATTGTAGTTTTTGAGCAAGAGGTTTTCCTAGAATCTTTTATAGCATGAAGACAACCCATGAAAAATCAGTAGTAATATATCTCTCATATACTTTGAAGGTCAATAATTTCAGACGACTGCAAAATCATCCTTCAAAATAATTTATATTTAGCTTTGGAAAATGTTTATAGATAATTTGGAAACAACTGGAAAAGATTTTTGTAATTTTCAATACTAAAGGCCACATCAGACTTAATGATAGTTAGAAAGTTGTCCACTTTCTCAGTTTTTTCCTGTTCAGTTTTCTAGTCTTCATTCCATAGTAGAGATAGATAGAACTACTGCTCAGACTTGCAAAATATGACCTTATTTTCTTTATTCTAAAAATGTTTATGCTTTACCTTTTAGAGAATAGGAGGCATTGAAAGACAATGAAAAACCTTTCATTCATTTTTTTTCTGGGTAATAGGCTTAATATAGGCAAGAAAAGAATAACAATATTAAGGTACTGAAGTCACTATGAATAAATTAAAATATAACTAAGCTGCCTTTATATAGTTTGTAACTGAGTTTCTGTAGTTGTATGTACTGTAAACACCACAGATAAGATACATTAAGAATTTCTTCAGGATTTTTTAAAAAAAATTTAGTTTGTTTGTACGTGGGTATAGTACATAATGTCTACATTCCTTGTGGGAGGTTGGTATGCATACATAACACATCTTTATTGTACTGGGGATAGAACCCAGGGATCCACACATGTTAGATATATGATCTGCCACTGAGCTACATCCCCAGATATAACACATCTTAATTCCTTGTTTTTATCCCTTTTCCCTTCCTTCTCTCCCTCCTCTACCCATTCCTGGAACCCCTTCCTGTTTTCTATTTTATTTTACTCTGGGTTTCTCCTATAAGCGAAACAATGTGATATTTAAGTTTGTGTGTCAGATTTATTTCAGTTACCAGTGTGATCTTAAGGTGTATACATTTTCCTACAAATGACTCGTTTATTTTTCTTTATGGCAGAGTAGTATTCCATTGTGTGTAAATACCACATTTTCTCTATCCATTCATCTATTGATGGACATAATGTTTGCAAATGACTACTTGTTGTGGTAACCTTATCGTTGATGTTTCCCTCATTAGCCATTTGTTTTTAAAGGTTGCAGAGAAGAAAATCAAGAAAAATTTTTTCTCACAACTTTATTTCCACTTTTTACACATACATTTAAAGTAATAATTATTTTTTGGTAGCCACTCAGCCAAGTAGATTCATTGTTGTAGTCTAAGGAGGGCAGATAGAAGTTAAATGAAAAGAAATGCACACTGAGTATGGAAACTCAGAATGTCACATTTTTATTTAACTTTTTTATTCCTTTCTGCCATACCATACATTTTTCTTTTCTTTGTTTCCAGTTCTCTCTTTTCTTTCATTTTCCTAGCCACTGTTTTTACACGGAAATAGAATTGAAATCAATTATATTGAATTATGTATTTGCGTATTAAAACTTTTTGATATGATAATATATATTTCTTTAGTCATGAATTTAAAGTAATACATGCAAAATACAAGTTAAAAGTAATTTTATAAAAGCCATATCTGTGTTAAAGCTTTTTGCATAGCTTGAATTAAAAAAAAACCCTTCTTTTATGTGTTCCAATGTACTAATGAGAAAGGAAATTTGGGAAAGCGTCAATGTTGGGTCACCAGTAAGTCCTCATTGTTTGGTGGGTGAACAGTTAGGCATATTGTCAGTTACATCATATGGAATTCTATACTATGGGCAAAAAACTTAGATCATGTTTGTTCTATCAGTGGGTTTACTAAGACTTGTAAGAGAGTATCTGTTATCATACTGAAATATTGATGATTGTAAAAGGTATTTTGAGATACCTCCAGTGGCATTTAGGTGATATAAAAAGTTTTGTGGCTTCTGTGGTATTTAAGGTTACATATACTGGTCTGTTGCTTGTATTCATAATTGAAGGCAATTCAGTATTAACTTGAGCTGAAAAGCACGACAGAGAAAATTGGAATATTCAGAGGAAGTTTGGAAAATTAGGAGCTCCTCATTGTTTTGTTTTGTTTTGTTTTTTGAATGACAGTTTTTGCGGTGAGATGTGATATACAACGTTGGCCTTACTTTAAGCCACATTGTTAATGTAGTTCAACATTATCCACCATTATTGGATGTCACTGTTTTTTTTCCCCCACTCAGTAAAAATGATTTTCTTTAGAACTGTAACTGACCCTTAAGTGGTGTTTAGAAAATATTAAACTATCCTGAGTGTAAATGTTAAAAATGAATTTAGTCTGTTATTTCCTCAGTGGTAGTCACAGCATACTAAAAGAAATCATTTTGTAGAGTTGTGGGGAAAAGTACATGGGAACAATGCTTTGTTAAGTATGATGACATCTATTATTATTATTGGAATATTTGGCAAATTAATTTAAAAAGATATATGTCAGTACTGTAATATAATTTTAAGTAAATGTTAACACAACATTAGATACATTATTTTAACTCTGAACTAGTTAGATATCAAGGTTTTATAAGGAACAGATTCCAAATTTGATATTTATATTCTTTAACTTCATCTCTCATACTAATTTTGAAATTAATAATGTAATCACTGTTTCTTGTTGTCTTCATTGGCTTTTCAATCCTAAATCTTGGTTTATAATATGTTTAATACTTTTAAACAAAGGGCCTTGCACCATTTATCTCGCCTGAGGGACTTGGTTGATGATACCAGTGGAAAAGAGTGACCGAAAATGTGAAGAGGGAAGTAAAACTGTCACCACAATAACTACGAACAAATATGTATTTTTTCTTATTACTTCATTGGACAAAGTAAATACAAGCTATACATTATTCTAACATTGGTTGAACTATTTTTCTAAAGAAATAACCTTGAAAATATCCATAGGATTTGTGACTTATCCTCATTTTGTTCCAAAAATAGAATGTGAATTCATAATAGCCCACAATGTATCCTGAAGTCATCTTACTTCACTCTTCAGGCCAGCAAATGTTTAATATTTAAGGATGAATGATTTCTGTTCTTAACACTTTCCTGGACCTAACCTTCTGTAGTATCATCATTTTATCATTTGATTCTGGAATATTGTTTTCTAGCTTCTATCTATAATCTCTTAAGTGGACCTTTTAAAAATAATAAACTTAGCATGCAGTTTTAAGCAGCTTAAATAAATACCAAAATTTTTATAATGTAATATGGAAGTCTGTTACTTATAAATTTCAAAAATTAAAATAAAAATTAAAGATGTAAATGACCTCCATTTAACAGTGAATGAGTGATGTGGTGCTAAAAGGAGTGTTACTTAATATTGTGACATCCAACAGAACCTCCTCATTTAATGAATACTTCGATTCTGTGAAAGGTAATTTTTTTTGCTTTTGTGGTACTGGGAATTGAACTTGGGTCCTTGCGCTTGCGAGTCAGGCTCCGAAAGCACTGAGCTAAATCTCCAGCCCCTTGGTAATATTGATAATACATGACATTTTATGAATCATTTTGGAGGGGAGATATTTGAGTATTTAATATTAGAGCTTTTTCCAGATTTTAGTTTTAGGGTCAGCTGCAGCTATTAAAAATAATGACGTAGTTGCTAAATGTTTTATGAAATTTGAGACTTAACTTAAAAGAAAATGAATTTGGGCAACCAGAAAGTAACTATTTAAAGCCATGTTTTAAGAGTTGATTTTTTTTTTAAGCCTTCTGTGCTTTCACAGTTTATCTCTAGCTAGATACTTGGAGAGCTCTGTAATTTTGCAAGTTCTACCAAGTATACATTAATATTTCCAGTAAGTTGGAAATATATTTATCAAAACTAAAAATTAAGTAATCAGAAATAACTAATATATTTTAAAAGCCTGTTGAAATTAAGGAAAATCTGCAGATATGTATAAATACTGCAAATTAGCACTTTACCCAAATGACACCATCTTTGCTAAGTAGACTTACTGCTAAATAGGAATTTATAGGCACATAATTGAAGAATTTGTTTTCCACATTATGAAGAGGCACTAATTAATATCTTTGTTATAGAATTGACATGTCAAACACTGTAGAGTGAACCCTGCCATCTTTCCCTCCTTGGTGTGAGTTTCTCCCTATATGTGTCTGGCTGGTTTGAGAGGCTCTTACTGATAGGTTTTTGTTTACTCTGTGGAAATCTTTTTTTTTGACACTTACATACTCTTTAATGATTATGATGTATGGCAAAGCAAATAGCTTAAGGAGGTATTACTTTGAAGATCAAATAAAGGCTGGCTTTTTAAAATACAAATTTAATTTAGTGAGCATAACATGGGTCTAGGTGTGTCATATTTCAGGCCTGGTAAAATCTTCTATTAGACAAATTCTAAGGAATGCAGAGAAGATGAAGGTAATAATTTCTATGTTAATTATGTGTTGACAATACATAACATATACTGTGCCTGGAAGCACCTCCAAAAAGTTTATGCACTAATGACTCTGGATAATATTGATTTTGTTAGTGCCTGGATTTACAAGAGTATCTCCAGTGCTAAACAAGAGAAGCTGTTCTAAAATTGTATGTTACAACTAATATTTTAAGGAACTTTATGCTTATGAAATGAGTATTAATTATGTTTTCATTTTCTATAAATATGGAAGGGTTTAGTCTTTTACCTAAAAAAGGAATTAGTTTTATCAAAATTATTAATTCTAGGGGGCTGAGGATTTAGCTCAGCGGTTCGGTGGCCTGCCTTGCAAGCACAAGTACCCGAGTTCAGTCCCTGGTACAAAAAAAAAAAAAAAAAGTATTAATTCTAACTTTCTTAAAAGAAATAGGAGTCAGTGAATCTCAAATCAAAATGTATAAATGAAGCTGGGCATTGTGGCACATGCCTTTGATCCCAGAACTTGGGAGGCTGAGGCAGGAGGATCACTGTTAAGTTCAAGACCAGCCTGGGCTATATAGTGAGTTCTAGGTCAGTCTCAACTACATAGTGAGACCCTGTCAAAAAAAAAGTCTAAATGATAAATATATCCTTAATTCATGTGGGTCTTTAAAATTTTTTGATTCCTAGGGGGAAAAAAAGGGGCCACCCATATGGAAACTGTTGAGAATTTAAAGCAAATAATGAGAAAATCATATTTTAAAAATTGCATTTTGAGTATAAAATTTTACCTTAGTCTTTTAGGTAGATTGACAAAATATTTAGAAAAAAATTAAAAATTTTTGATATTTTCAAGTTTCTAAATTAAGTATAAAAAATATAATGAAGTTCTATTCCAAAAATTATTTGGGATCAATGGCCAGTGTGTGGTGGAGTGTCCAGGCTGAAATATTTTTTCTACCAATACAAATTTTACTTTCAGTTTTTTTGTGTGTGTTTGTTCAATCTTATAGAGATATCTGACCAAATTGGGGGACTGTTTCTTGGTTTTAATTTATGTATATATCTGTCTAGTTGTATTACTCCTTGTTAAAATTTATAATTGTGATTTTTTTTTTGTATTTTGTATTTAATGGTCTATCATGACATTTTGTTAAATTTTATGTAGTTATAAAAAAGTCACAGATAACCATGATTCCTTGTTTTTACCCTGTGTTTAAATATGTGAAATTGTTCTTACAGATTTGAAATTCTCTTTCATTTTTTTTCTGTATCACCATTCACTCTATATTTTTAAACCTATTTGGTAGAAGGGCTGTGAAGAAGTGAAGTAGTCAAAAGGAAAAGTGACAAAAGAAGCAAAATACTATTTCAGAGCAATTGAACTTTTCTTCAGATGTGCAAGACTGTGTATCTAGTCCATTTATAGATTGGATGTTTCATGCCTGTTTATATAGTGTGTTGGATTGTCTTATAATTGGGGTAAATGTAGACCCAAACCTGAACACAATTATATTTTTAGATATTTTGTCTGTTACTCTTTCTTTCCTTCCCTTCCTCTTTCTCTCATCATATTTCTCTATAATTGTTTTTCTGTTTTGGACAAAACAAAACAAAAAAAAAGAAACCATGGTTCTTTATTATCTCAGTTTATTTTTATCTTAGACAGGAATGTTTTATGCAACAGCTGTTTTCACAATTTAACAACTTTTATCCATCTTTTATTACAGTGGAGTAGTTTATTTTCTAATACCTATTTCAAGCTTTAACACCTCAAACTCAAATTTTGTCTTTTATACTGAAGCTAGACTGACTGGTCTTTGCAAGGCACCATCATGTACTACCACTCTAACTATAGTTGTTGATTTCAGCAATTTGCCTTGTAGTCTTTATGCATATTATTTGGAATATAGGTTGAGCATCCCTTATCTGAAATGTGTGGGGCCAGTGGTATTTTAAATCTTGAAAAAAATTTTTTAAAAAAAATCTACATAGATTTTACCATTTAAGTATCCCAAATCCAAAAATTTGAAGTCTGAAATGCTCCAAAATCTGAAACTTGGGGCATCATGTCATTGCTTGCGCTTTTGGATTAAGAATGCTTAATTCAATTCTCATTCTTCTGTTTATCTAAAGCTTCTTTTTCTTTTTTTTTTTTTTTTTTTTTTTTTTTGGTACTGGGGATCGCACTCGGGTCCTTGTGCTTGCAAGGCAGGCATCAGAACCACTGAGCTAAATCCCTGGCCCACGATTTCTTTTCAAACATTCTATCTTCTAAACTTTAGTAGGTTAGCTTCTCCTTTTCATTACTCCATCACTTATTTAGCTTTTGTATTCCTCATTTTGATATTTTGGATGGCTCTTATGCTACATTGTATCCTAGAGAAGAGTATATACCTCAAAATGTTAATTGATTATATTTTATTTCCTTATGAGAGCACTTATATTACTTTACATAATCAGGAAAAAATAAACTTTTATGTAGTGCTCTTAAGTATTTATTGAGAAGTCTAAGTGAGATTTTCTTTATTCAGGTAAAAGATCATATGCTTTATTTAAGTGATATTCTGTAAATCTTTATTTTAAAACATTTTAATAATGGTATTTCTTTATTAGCAGTAAATAGTTTTTAAGAGCACTTTTATTCAGGTTCATGGTAAAATTAAGAGTAATATACAAAGCCTGGAGTGGCAGTCACTTGTAATCCTAGCACCCAGGAGGCAGTGATAGGAGTATTGGAAATTCAAGACCAGCCTGGGCTACATAGTGAAACTCAATAAATCAGAAAAAGTAACAAAGAGATTCCCATATGCTCCTTGTTCCCATACATTCATTCTCATGTTTTCCGCATTTACCACCAGAGTAGTAGATTTAACTGATGAACTTACCTTATCACATCATAATTGCTTAAGTCCACACTTTACATTAGGGTTCACCCCTGGTATGCATTCTGTGAATGGACAAATATATAAATGACATGTATCCACAATTACATATTTTCACTTGCCTAAAACTATTCTGTGTTCTGCCGATTCATCCCTCACTCTACCTTATGCAAACCCCTTTTAAAATAAGGTAAATTACATCTGGTTTAGAGGACTTTTTCTATTTGATGTTATAAAGAAAAGAGGTTTTTTTGACTTACAATTCTGGTCGCTGTAAGATCCAAGCAACATGGTGCTGGCATTATTATAAAGTCCCTTTGGAACAGAGAATTAATTGGAAAGGGAACTGGACCCATGTAGAAGGTACATATGTAAGAGAGTGAGCCAAGACAGTTGAATTTGCTTTATAACAATGTATTCTCAGAAGAAATACTCAGCCTCTACAAAATTTGGGATCCAGTCCCTGAAAAATAATTTGGGGAAGAAAAGTAAAAAAAAAAGTAGATCCATAGGAACTGGCAGAAAAATTCCAGGCTGCAGGTAAATTGAAGAGAGAACACAGTGCAGAGAAGGGAAAGAAACAGGACTTTCTGGCTCGTAGCTTTTCAGAAAGGGATCTTGAATCTGCAGAAACAAAGTCAGTGCTGGGGGCCCCACCCAAGTGTCCTCAGGTAGAAATACAGCTGTGGAGCAGACTAATCATTTCTGTGAACTGCAGGGACAGCATGGATATTCTTCCACAAGTGAGTCATCCCAGTCTACGTACCTGCCACATCCCTGGAGAGAGTAGGGACTTGGGTGCCATTCTGGGAAAGAATTGAGTGTTTGAAGCCAATGACTAGCAGATGTGGGACAGCTTCATTCCAGTGTTTTCCTTCACGGTGC